AGATTATTTGCCACATTTTATAAAACAAGTAAAAGACATGAACATAGTACACCAAGCTGCCTATGTGCCTTCTTTTTGAAGATCAAGTCATACATAATTCTACTCTATTTCATTTTTTATAAGACTTTGATAAAGTACTATATTTCTTTGGCACATGTAAGTAAAACAAAGTTCGATAGTTCAAGAGATAATTGAATAAAAATTAGTATTGGGAGTTAGAAGAATAGAAGAGTTCGAGAGATGATGGCTGAAGAGGAAACTAGGAATGATAATTCACTTGAGTTATCCCATATCATAACCTTCAGCACCATAAAGACGAGTTAGTCAAGCCACTCCTCATCCAAAATCTATCTTGGAACATAGAGGTCAAAAATTTGTTAGGATAGGACATGGTCAAAAAACACCTAACCAAAATTTGGCAAGATCTGTATTGAATTAGTTTGCTAGGTGTTTTGCCTCTAAATGCATTACTTGCTCTTAAGGATACATAAGTTATGCAGTATATGATTAGTAAATGCATCAATTCATAATTATGAACAGGAAACTAAATCAAATAACCAAAATCATAGAACATATATATATATATATATATATATATCTGTAACAAGCGTCACAGGTTTTACATCACGCAAATAGCAAAGGCAAGAAACTTAATAAAAGAAGTAAAAGTTGAATCTTTACCTCTTATTGGCAATAAGTCCTTTACTCATCCCTTTCTTTTGGCCTGCCTAAAGGAGATCATACTAACATGAAATATGTTCTTTTCTTATGAAAAAAATAATATTAAAGAGAAATGGAGAATATACAAAAAAGAGAAGAGGATTAGATACACTCCCAAAGAAAGGAAAAAAGAATTAAACTAAAAAAATGAAACAGACTAACACCCCTAACAAAGAATAACATCCAAACTGAATATGCAATCAGTGATCAATACATAGATCAGTAGCGTAACGATAACAAATATTTCATTCAATAACTATGAAAAGAAAAGGTGAATCCTTGCATTTCCTCAGCAATAATTATGCCAACATCCTCCTCTTCTCTCAGGATATGATCTAGAATGGAAAATTTCAGATCCAGATTTAGCCGTTCGCTTAGTAAGAGAATTAGGATCTCATCAAACAATTGCAAGTAAAGCAAAAGTTCCATTCCAATCTTCCGACTTGATCATTTTTTCTGCATAATTCAAGGTTTATCAATGATAAAATATGAATTGACTAAAGAAAGCTTCTATCCAGCTCTTCAATTCAAGAGGACCACATTGATGTAAAATAAGCCTAATCTAGATTAGTTTTTCATACAATCTTCTGTTAAGAACAACTAACAAGACATCAAAATCATCCTATCCCCATTTACGTACTAATCCTTCTAAAACATGATAAGTGAAGTCAGTGACATTAAATAAGTTAAAATATGACTCTATTTATTCCCTGTTGAAATGTTGAAAACAGAAGTTCTTTTAGGTAAAAGCAGAAGTTGTTTCGACTTTTAATAAAGATGAAATCAAAAGCTAGAAATTAAAACATAATTATTAAAACAAAATTTATTTTAAAATTAAACAATAATTTAAAATTAATATTCATATTCAATAAAATAAATAAATTAATTAATAAAAATAAATATTTTAATATGATCAAATTATTAGAATAGTTTTTCAAAATAATTTTATTTAAATAATTAGAAAAAATATTTTTTTTATTTATATAATTTTTTATCATTTTAACATATATTATTAATTTTATAACAGAACTAGCTAAATATAATATCATATTTTGTATTCAAAACACTCTTACAGTAAGTTTTAACAAACACTATACTAGTTTTCACCTTAAAATTTGTTTTACTGAAAACCATTTCCATAGTATTTATAAACATCATACCATGTGCTTCAAATATTACAGCAGGGCTTACATTAAACAAAATTAATGTAAGCCTTTCCTATGCGAAGATGAATGATCTACCGAAGCCAAGTGCAAAAGAACACAAAAGGTATCTATCGAGGAGACTTCACCAAATCTAGTAGCCATTTACTTGATTGTAGGAATCCAACATTGAAGAATAAGAACAGGCTATCATTATCACAGTGCAGACCCATAGTGGTACCACGATGTAAGTGAAAATTGAAAACAAAGTGAGACATACATTTAATTGGCAAATACACTTCAACCACATATATGAAAATTTGTAAGACACAGCAGAGAATATGTGTGTGCAAAGTTGAAATTTTAAAGAAACAAAGTATTCTAGGAGACGTGGAGTTTATGAGCACAAAAATGCCGTAAGGTTCTTTGTCTTTTAAATACTGTAAATATTTCCATCCACCATCTATTACTGAAAGGCCAGAGATGAAGAACAGGCCCAATAAACTGTGTAAAGAAACCAGCATCAAACCGGTTTACCTGGCTAACATTGCTCACATCAACAGCAACATGACTGTAATTCTTCCACAACTGCCAGCCTTTTCGTCTGAAATAAAATCACGTTTCCTTCCTATCATGACCCAGATTTCGAAACGATAGAAATAAACAATAATTTGCAAAATTACACAAAAAAAATTACAGAAAAAAAATATATCAGACTACAAACAATTAAATAAAAGAATCATTTTGATAGATACAGAACTTGAATTTCAGGGCCTCCTTGAATGCAATGAATGACTCTTCGCTCCTCTTCTTGATCATATGCCCGCAAGTTAGGTAAAATGGTTTGTAATTTTTAAAGCATGGTAGAATGATATAAATTCTATCTTTCCACATCCAAGGAAAGTTCAAGTTTTTTCTTCTACTGGTGGTTAAAAGAAACTTTAAGCTTTTCTCCTATAAAGTATAATTGGTTTAGAACCTTTTGTATTTTATTTAAAAGCCAAACTTTTCAAGATGGACCTAATTTACTTCCTCATCAGATTTTGTCTTTGAAAGATTTGTTACTGTTGCGCATAACCCAGGGTGTCTATTGATGGGATGAATCTTATCTTCTTTAAAAAAAATGTTCAAAGATTCAGCAGTTTGGTGATTTCCAATTTACCAAGCATGTTAATCGGCATTGTGCCACAACTTCCCATTGAACAGATTTTTATTAAATGGATTGCATCAAACAAGTAACAACCAAAGTCCCTAATAATGCAACAAAGAATAGTTCAGTAGTCATGGTGTCAAATCAAAGTAGCTAAATTTAGAGAAACATCACTTATTTTACGCAGAAACATGATATGCTTAAAAAAAACATGCTATTAGATAAACGTGTATATGGATTATAAGGATAGAAGGAAAAGAAAAAACGAAAAGAGCATACAAACAACCAATATTGTTCCAAGCCTCTGCATTTTCGGGATCGAGTTGAACTGCCCGAGTAAACCCACTTCAGTGTCCCTAGCCTCCATCACCATATTCAATAATGAGTTTGATGAAGTTTTCTCTTGGGAGAGAGAGAAAGATTTGTAACAAAACAAGAAGATTATCATAGTTGGTAGCAAGAACATGTATGTGCAGAAATCTAATAAATGGACAAGCCTAAAACCACGGGACACATCAAGTTACCTTCAATGCAGCTGCTCCAATTCCTGCGATTTTAAAATGAAAAACGAAAGAAATGAGCAAAGACAGAGAAGGGAGAAATGGTAAATGTCGGGAGAGGGTTATCACGTGATTTTTCTTTCTGGGTCTTGTTTGTTTCCCGAGAAAAAAAATGGATCTTCTATTTCCGCATAGGAAAAAAAAGAAATAAACAAAGAAAAGGAGAAATAAAGAAAGAAACTTTCTACCAAACTCAGATTCCACCTCTGATGCATCAATATGAGTCTCGCACAAAGTATGGGGCATATGTAGATTATGTTTTATCTGCATAGGAAATACATTTGATGAAACAAAAGAAATAAAGAAAGAAGGAACGAAAGAAAATCAAAGCATTGAAAAGAAAAGCAAAAAGAATCCTTTACCTCTTCTTACCAACATCATCCGCTTCTCTTCACGCAAGATCGGATTCAAAGCAAACAATACCATCTGTCACTTCAAATTTTATTAAGAGAAATAAACAAAGAAAAAAAGAAAGAAAGAAAGAAACTGTTCTACCAAACTCAGAGAAAGGAGAAGTCTGTTTCTTGAAAAAAAGAACGAAAGAAAAGAAGACCAGAGTCTGTCTTCTTGAAAGCAAAGCAAAGCTAAGAAAGGAAAAATGTCTTCTTTATGTTGTATCCCCATAAGCTATACATTTGATGAAACAAAGAAAGAGAAAAAGAAGGAAGGAAAGAAAAGAAGACCAGAGTCCGTCTTCTTGAAAGCAAAAGCAAAGCCAAGAAAGGAAAACTGTCTTGTTGAAAGAAGACCAGAATCTGCGTAAAATTGACGAGACCGGCAGTATAAATAGGCCGTATACATTATCGCGCACGTGGCAATCAGTCGATAACACTTCAGATCACCCACCCGTGGCTCTATCAAACCAGCGGATATGTCCGTTATATACGCATGTATTATATTTACGCACGTGCCGCAATACGACACGCGGGTTTTCGTGGCTCTCGGCCGGCCCCGAAACGCTGCTTTTGCCGTCGTTTTTGTGCCTCTTACGTGTAACAGCTTGCAGAGCGGAGTCAAGCTGAGCGCAACTCGGGGGAGATGGGCGGAGGCAGTGAGGAGCTGGTAAGTGAAGACTCCTTCAAAAGCGTGCTGGGTTAAAAAGAGTCGCAAAGTGAGTCAAAAGAGCGCGAGTTGGCTAGTGAGTTCCTCACTCTGCTTTGAGGCTGATACATCCATCTTCTCTGCTTTCTCTGTTGCTGGGTATCTGAGAAGTTCTGCTTTTGGGCGACACAGAGGGGAGAATTTTATATTTTTTTTGGAAATACAATTTATTATTTAAAATGTAGATAAAAGTAAAATGCAAGCTGAATTTGGAAAAAACCCAGACTTTTGGGTCTTAACTAATTAAATTTAAGAACTTTTCGGATGGGTCAATTTTTAATTGGATCCGAGCCGAGCAGAAATTCTTAGAAGTGAATAAAACTCGTCTGAGTTGCATCTTCTACACACGCCGAGTAACGAGCCACCAACCACCACCGCCAAAAGTTCCCCAAATTAAGAATGAATAAAACATTAATGTTTCTTGTTAGAGCCAAGACCACACACATTTGAGGTTTTTTCAGGATACTCACTTTTGTTATCTTCCCATATTCTACAACTCCAAATCTGGCATTCTCATCCGACTTTGCCCTGCCACAAACGAGCATATTAAATTAGCAACCCAATATGAACTTTCAAATAATCGACAGATCAAAAGCTGTAACTTCAAGTACCTGTTTGCAAGTCCTCGTGACCATGCAAAGATAGATGCTATACTGTTTGTGCTAGTTTCACCGCCTTTCTGATGAACCCTGTCATGTCTCGTAACTGTACCAAGTGCTACTTCTGCTTCTATTCTCTTTCCGTCAGGGCAGACCTGAAACAAAATTCACAACTTAACAAGTCAAAAATAATAATATTAGAAGTTCCACCGGAAGTTTTAACACGTATAGTATTATTATTTTTCATTTCACTTTACTATTCCTGTTGTGAAGTGTGGAATACTCTTTTCTTTTCTATTTGGTAATAATAATAAAAAATATTAATAATTCAAATCTTCTTCAAAGTTAGTATAAATTTTTTTTATTTTTGAGTTAAGCCACTAAGCTAATATGGTTACATGCTTTTATTGGATGGTAGTTATACATATTATACACCAGAAACTACCATTGAGATTTATATTAACTACCGATAGAGAGAAAAACAGGCCACCACCCATAGTAAATTAAAAACTTCACAAATTGATTTGAGATGTACCAGGACAGATGTCATCAATCCAAGAGATCCGAACCCTACATGAATACAACTATAAGTCAGTGATTCGGCTTTCACTAGAGGGGAATGCATGTTTCATCTATTTTCTTCATAAAGCTCCAAAGTTAAAACACAAAGAACAAGTCTCTAATCCTTATGTTAAATTTTACATTCACCAGCAGCTTGTTACACAAACCTTGGGCTAAGAAATCACTTTGTACATCCCCATCATAGTTCTTGCAAGCCCACACATATTCTCTTGAGAGCATAAGCCACCATTTCGTCAATAAGACGGTGTTCATACCTTGAAATTTAATCATACAGGTTAGAGAAAAACACAGTGAAGCAGCAGTAATCATAATTCTGAAAAAGTAGACAAGAACTCACCATATCCCGGCAGCCTCAAACTTACATTTCTATTCAGCCTCATAAACTTCTTGAAATATATCCTTAAATCTTCATCGTACAAACAAATATAACTTCAAATATATATTGAAGCATGAGGCTAAAAGTATATTTTCAACAAAACTACCAGACGAGCAATACAGTAAAAGAATGAGTTTAGAAGCCAGGTCAACCAAGCAAACACACCTTCCATAATATTTCTTAAGAATAGTACTTTTGGTGCTAGGATAAAGTGGCCACTTTTTCTGGTAAGCAGTTGCTACTGGAGCCTCCGCAAAAGCACGGATAGACTGCATTCATGTATCAGATATAATTTAACAAAATCAGTCACTTGCAACAACACTGAATCCAATGCTAAGGGACAAGACAGTAGCAGAACCAAACCTGATCAGTGTTATATATGGATAATGTTACTCCCTCAGCACCAGTAAAGTTGAAAATCTCCAACTCTGTCTTCTCATCTTGTCCTTCTGGAACTGCAAGCAATTTACACATTGAAGTTTTATAAGTTATTATCCACTCCACATACAGAAAAGTTCAAGAAGTGACATTTGTAAAATATTAAAATAGAAAATTAAAAGAGAATATCTGAAACCATAGAAGTAGGGAATACAAATTTACCAAAAACTAACTTAAGCTTTCTAGCTCCTTTGATGACTGTATCAGTGGCACGATAACGATCTCCAAAAGCATGTCTTCCAATGCATATAGACTTTATCCAACCTGACAATACAATTATCAGGATGGTATAGCTTCAGACTGGCATAAAGGAATGAACAGCAATAATGTCACCAAAAAAAAGTACCTGGGACAAGCCGAAGAACATTTTTACAAATAATTGGTTGTCTAAAGACAGTACCTGGGAATAACACCAACCACCAAACCTCATCATGAACCAGCTTATAATGAATGCAACAGAGGTAGATGAAAATGATAAGGTGAAGTTGTTACTGATCATTCAGAATATTCCTAACGGTCCCATTTGGACTTTTCTACATGTGCTTCAAATTAAGTTTCACTGGACTTGGAATAGTACTCCAAGCTGTCTACAAACTTTTTTTTTTTATAATCAAATCATACATAGTTCTGCTCCATTTATTTAATTTTTTATTAGACTTCATGGATAATACAGTATTGAATTTAAAGCAAACTGAAAATAAATCGCAATGTTTTTCGGCTCTGTCGGATTTCAAAATTTTCTATATTTTAAGAGAAATAAAAGAAAAAACTCTACATCGGTGACTTGTGTGATTTACGGTTATTTCAAGAGAACTTGAGAAATGAAATTGAGTCTCTAGCAAGGTAAATAAAGAATTGAAAGTAATAACTTTTGAATCTACTGATATTTTTTGAAAAAGTTGAAAAATTTGCTTTCAGAGAACAAGAAGGCTTCAAAAATGGATTTTGAAAATTAACAAAATAAAACTATGTTCTCATCAAATGCTAAGAAAACATTAATTCTTTCCCTTAAAAATCTAAATACTACATATACATTTCTTAAAGACTGCTTGTTCTGAAATAAAACAATGCATTTTTTTTTTTCATCTTTTTCAGAAGTACCTATTACATTTGAAATCCATTGCATTTCATCTTTCATTCCATTTCCCAATCACTTATGAAGTAATCGAAAATTACATGAGTGATCAAAAAAAGTAGAATTTCATCTTTCATTTCACCTGAAATATGAAAGTTTTTAAAAATTATTATAATTTCAATTAGTCTTTTATCTTGAAGTCTGATAAAATAAAAAAAAAACATTGCATTTCATTTTTAGACCGGCAGCACATATAGGCCGTATACATCATCGCGCACGTGGCAACCAATCGATTATACTTCACGTCACCTACCCGTGGCTCTATCAAACCAGCAGACATCTCCGTTATATACGCGCGTATTATATTTAAGCACGTGCCGCAATACAACACACGGGTTTTCGTGGCTCTCTGCCCGAACTCGAAACGCTGCTTTTGCCGTCGTTTTTGTGTCTCTTACGTGTAACAGCTTGCAGAGTTGAGTCAACCTATGCGCGACTCGGGGGAGATGGCGGGAGGCAGTGAGGAGGTGGTAAGCGAGGACTCCTTTAAAAGCGTGCTGGGTTTAAGAGAGTCCCAAGCTGAGTCAAAGGAGCGCGAGTTGGCTAGTGAGTTCTTCACTCGCTTTGAGGCTGATACACCCATCCTCTCTGCTTTCTCTGTTGCTGGGTAGTGGAGATTTTCTGCTTTTGGTCGAGACACAGAAGGGAGAGAGTTTTTTTGTTTTGTTGGAAAAATTACGATTTATAATGTTAAAAAGTAAGAAATGCAATAATTTATTGTTTAAAATGTAAACAAAAGTAAGATGCAGGCTGAATTTGGAACACACCCCAAATTTTGGGTCTTGACTAATTAAATTTAAGGACTTTTAGCCCATGTAAACGAAAGTGGGACCATAAAGAAATGAAACTTTTCGGGCGGGTCAATCTTTAGTTGGATCCGACCCGATAAGGAATTCCTAGGAGAATAAAACGCGGTCTGTAGTTGCATCTTCTACACGCCGAGTTGGATCCGACCCGAGCAGGATTCTTAGAAGAAATAAAAGGCGGTCGGAATTGCGTCTTGTACCCGCTGCGTAACGAGCCACCGCCAAAAGCACCCCAAATTGAGAATGAACAAAACGTTCAAGTTTCCCGCTAGAGCCAAGACCGCAATTTACCTACTAACGGCTACTGGCCTCACTTTTCAAGCTGCTAACGCCTCAAATCTCCTCTCATCTTCCCAAGATTCTCCCCTCTTTTCCCCTCATTTTCCCGAGAAAGTTAGGACTGGTTTCGATTGCGTCATTCGCTCCTCTCGCGCGATCTCCACTGTCCGTTTCTTCTCTCACTCTTCTCTTTTTTTTTTTTTCTTTTTCCTTTTGTTCAACTCGCCATCTTTGGTTGTGTTGCAGTTTGGTTGCACTGTTGCTGATTACAAATTTTCTTTACGTGGAATTCCTGAGGATTCTCACGAGTATCATCGCAAATTATCTGAGGTTTGCCTTTCTTTTCTCTGCCAATATGCTTTTTTACATGTTTTATGAGCTTCAACGTCATTTGTATCTTCAACTCATATCAGAAGGCATGTATTTATCCCTGGAAATTGGAAGAATTGATTATTCAATTTAAAAAGGAGTTATTAAATCCAAGATATACTACTTTTTTTTTAGATGGAATTTATAAGCATGAAAATCATATTATTGTGCTCCAGCTGTAGTGAAAATTTGTCGTGTCGGTTTTAGGTTCATCTACGTTCCGCCAAAAGAATACTAAAGTTATGTGATGCCAACAAAGGTTTCTACGTGAAAGCTGGACAGTTTGTGGCTGCCTTGAGGCAGGTCCCACGAGAATACTCCTCTACTCTTTCGTCCTTACAAGACAAGGTTTGGTTCATATTTAGTCTGTGTGAAGATGTATTTCTATAGACAGAGATGCTTTTTGCGTCTGATTGGTCTTTACTGCTATTTTGCTGGTTAATAATTCTGAAGGCAGCTCCTTGTCGTTTCAAAGTTATAAAAGAAGTGTTGATCAACAATTTGGGGCAGAATTTGTCCAAGATGTAAGTCTTTCTTCTTTATTTCGATGTGATGTTTGTCTCAATTAGGCTTGAAATTTTCAGTGACTGATTTGAAATGTTTGAGATGACGTTTAATTTGTATAACTTGTTCCTATCAAATGCTGATATAGAACAAAAAAAGGCTATGTTAACCTCTCCTATTCTTTTACATATAGGAAGACCGCTATTGAAAGGAAGATTCTATATTTATGTAAATTTTTCAAATGTATATTGAAATTAAGTTTTTCATATTTCGCATATTGACAAATAGCTTGGGCCTGCCTTAATCAAAGTTTGCTTTGGCTAAGCTTGAACAGAGTTAAAGTTTTTATAGCTTCATTTGTCTTAATGAGTTGAATACAAATCCATGTTTGGTTAAAAATTTGTGAATTGTGGACATGTTGATTATATATTAACATATTTTAAATTTATACCTATATATCAATATATGTTTTTATGTACATATACTTTTATTCTGACTATATATCTACTGTTTATTTTTATTTTTTTGATCTTTATATCTTATGTTTATTATATATAATTTATTTAATTTATTAAAAATGACATTCAAAGTTGAGACAATTCAAGCTTAAGTTCAAGCCTCTTTAAATATTGAGCATAAATTGAGTCAAAGTTGAGTTCTCTAAATTTTTACATAAACTGAATTAGGACCCAAAGAAAACCTCAAATCAAGCTTCTTGAAAAATCAATCTATATAATATTTGACTAAACAGACATTAAATACTCAATTATTTGGCTCGATACGCTTATGTTTACTGCCCTTTTTGAACAAACAAAAGTTGATGAATCTTGACAAACCTGTATTTGATATGGATATATTGTTGCGTGCTATTTTGGATGTTTAGGGATAAAATGAAGTAGGTTAGGAGGTTATATATGGCAAACTATGGTCATTTGCCTACTTGAGGTTTTGAAAAAAAAAATAGATATTACACTTTTTGTGTAGGTAGCACACCTAAAATTTGATTGAATCGCACAACCAACTAATGTGAAAATTATCAGAGAGAGGTTGTGTTCACTGAGTAATGCTCTTAAAAGAAAATTAAGACTTATCTGTAGAGAGCCAAGATTAGCCTAAGAATACTAGCTAGGAAATATCAATACAATCAAAATTAGGAAAATAAAACATAAATAAATTGGAAAATATAAAAATAACCTAAATAATATAATTCCTAAATTGTTAGTTACTACTCTGCCTATGTGCTATCGGGAGGATACTTCTAAATTATACCATTTTAGAATTTTTGCAGTCATGCCATTCATTAAAACATTCAATGACCACGAATTGCTTCCTGGTTCTTTTCCGAGTAAGACAAAGCCTATGAAAATAAAATCAATGAAAAGCCAGGTTTTAGAAGGAAATGTGATGCCTAACTATTTGCAAAGAAAAAGAAGAAACTCACTTGAAATAAGAAAATAAATAGGGAGCCGGGAGCTGGACTCGTTAGAGGAAGAGGGAAACTATTTTTCTCCTTTTTTGTCAATTGTTCTTTTTAATGTTCAATATGTTTTGGTTTATGTTTAATTAGGAAGTCATATCAATTAAGTTATGAGTTCGGAAAAGGTAGAATAGGAATTTACCTACATTCACATGTTTAGTTTAATTCTGCTGTGCATTGACATCAGTTAAATAATTAAATAAGTTGACTGTGTCATATCATTGTACAGGTTAAGATGAAGTTTTTAATTAAATAGGTTAATCATGTTACTTCATGTTAGGATTTTGATGAGATCAATAAAATTGGTTATTTATGCCTTTTTCGGTTAGAGTGAGATAATTGAGTATCAACATAATTAATCAATCATGTTTTATTCAGGTCAGATACAATTGTCTTATGTGTTTAAGTTGACACAACCTGTCTATGACCCATAAAATGAATCGCCAGTCTCCAAACAAAATAAAATGCCATCCCTAGCCAGGTTCTTTTACTTGTTTTTGTTGACTTTGGGCTGTATTTTTAAATCTTCAGATTTTTGTTTCTTGATGAAGAACCAATAGCAGCTGCTTCTATTGCTCAAGTACATCATGCAGTCTTGAAAGATCATCAAGAAGTAGCTATCAAGGTTAGCCGGAAAACTAATGTGCATAGCAATTCTTTTTTTGTTGTCTTCATGATATTTTTACTCTTTAGGGATTATTGGTTCTTGATTTGGTCAATGTCCCGGTTCCATCTTGCGTGGCCCTTTAATATTTATTCATTTTCTCTTTGATAATTAGAATGTGAAGTTCCTTAAGTTTGATCTTGCAAAATAACATTCATAGACAATCTAGACTTAAACCTGCTCCCAAAATTTATGGTACTGACTTTTTTTCTATTATGTTAGTCTATAACTTGCTTGCATATGATAAAGGTTTGGGTAGTTAATATCATGAGATTCCAGTATCAACTTGTGGTTCACAGAAAATTGTCTGAAAAGGAAGGGTTGTAGTAACGATATTGAGGACTTAAAAAGACAATTTTTTCAACTTATGGTTGGATGTTTCCCCTGTTATTCATTCAAATACTCTTTTGGCTCATAAGAGTACATTATGATCCATGAAATTATTATACCTTCCATCCAAGTGCAAAGTGTCATGTTTATGGATATCAGAATGCTTCCACCAGCCAGCTCTTTGGTCAATCCACAATATTATTGTGATTGTACACTCCCCTTTTGTTCTGAATTGTTTTCATTTTCTTCTTCTATTATGTTAGTTGTTCCTCATCTTTAACTTGGAAGGGCACAAGGGAGGAAATATGAATATATTAGACAAGATATTTTTTTAAATTATATTTATATGTTTGACAAGTGCTTTCTTTGATGGAGAATAGGTGCAGTACCCTGGCTTGGAGCAGAAGATGAAATTAGATACAACTATCATGTCTTTCCTTTCTAAATGGGTTGCATGGGTGCGCACATAATTTCCTGGCGATTATTTTATTATTTTTTTGGTTGATATGATATTATTTTTCTAAATTAAAGTTTATGTGCCAATCATTCAACTGTGTGCTGAATTAAAATATTTACAATGAAATGTTTTTTTTTTCCTTTTACTAAGAAACTACTTGTTAGACTGGTAACATCTCCGGTTAATATTTTGAAGCAATTTATCTTTAGTGTCTTTAACTCAGATCATAATTTTCTTCTTTATGGTTGCATTTCTGGGTAGTTATCTTAAGTGATAGCCCTTGGAATCATTCTACGTCGTCTACGTTGATTGCTGAGGATCAAATGGGGGATGCTGGTTTTATGGGCTTTACTACATTTTATTTCAAAGTTTGTCAAATATGGGCAAATGGGGAAGGGTTGGACTCGAAGGCCTGAAATCTTTTCAAGAACATTATGGAATTGTTGCATATTGTAAAGGGGCTGAACCAGCACCCTTGAAGGGGGTGGAATATCAGCAAAGCATGGTGGCTTGCTTTATATCCATAAAGTAGTGAAATTTGGCCTGAACTGTGTCAAGAGACTCCACTTAGGATCTGATAATAATTATATAATCTGTATATTGAAAATGGACATGGTGCCCATGGTATTGAAACTGGATTTGCTAATTTGATATCATTAGCTATGGCATGTATTTATATCATTTTTTAAGATAATGATATTTTTTTTTAAAATAAAAGATGAAAATATTATTATTCACAAAGGTACTAAGGGAGTACCTCCCAATTACATAGAAATTTTTAAGATAATGATATGATACAGTATTATTCTCACTCTCTAATTATTTCTCTCTCCACGGATTTGTCCCACAGTTGTTTCCTGAATATAGGTTCGGATGGCTGGTATCAGAATTTGTAATGGCAATTTCTTTGGAACTTGGTTAGTTCTGCAGGTCTTGTGATTTTTGTTGTATATCATTTGTAATATGTATTTTTGCATATGGCATGTGCACATTGTCATCGTGCGAGAATGTCGTCTGCAATCTTTGTTTTGTATTTCAAGTTTTGAAATATTGAAGAAATTGTTTGCAATAAACGATATACTATATACCTATATATTTGTGCATGTGGCATGTGTACATAGTCATTTCAGAAGTATGTCATCAATAATCTTCATTGAATTTTGTGTTTATAGTTTTGGAAAATTGAAGAGAATTATTTGCCAAGACATATCTATTTGTTTGTGCAAGAAGATCAACTTAGTTCTAGTTAGAGGAAATTCTAGAGAGAGAAAGTTTAGGCATTTTTCCACCAGTTTGAGAAGATGGGGGGCATCTATGTCATCTTCGACAACTAGAAGGTCCCTGGTTGTAGAAAGGAAGTCCTTTGACTTTGGACTTGCAGGAAAAGCGGTTGTGAGAATCGAAAAAGCTTCTGCATGTCGATAGTGTTCTGTTGAGGGGGATTGGGGAAGGGGGGAGTGAGTTTGCTCATGAGATGTTTGCAAGAATTCTACTGGGAGGAAGGAAGAGGCTCATGGGTCAAAAGTTAGCTGAGTTCTTATCACACCCTGTAGGTGGATTTGGCCTTGATTGCTGGAGGTTGTTTTGTGGCATTGATGGAAAGGTGAAAGAAGGGTAAAAGAAGAGTGGTTATCCTAGAAGGCCATCAAATTGGAGGGTGGTGGAAAACACTTCTGTACATATGCGACCTTGCTAGGAAGCCGATCAAACCTATGAAGATGGGCTTTGTTTGTCAAAGGTTTCAACCTTCTGCCGCTCCTGAATTGGTTCATGCCCAAAGAATCTAGGTTGGATTCATCTGTTGCCCTAGCTGCAGCATGCAACTTTATGTCAGTGGCGAGTGCAAAGGAGAGCTCTTATGCTGAGATAGCAAGGAAGGCTAAAGAGAAGAAGGGTGGGAGGGATAGTGGAAGATTGAAGGCTGAGAGACAGGTAGCGAAGCAAACCTCAGTCAGCTTTTATGTCAGGCAAATTTCAAATTTAAGCCTGATCCTGACCTTGAAACCAACCTAGGTGGAGCCCAAATTCTTCAGGCCCCTAAGCCCACAAGCTGCGGAATGAGGGCCAGAAGAAGGCTTCTGTGAGGGAGAAAGGAAACTGGGTGAACCACTCCTTGCATAGTACATCCTGAAATCTTTATCTTGTCTGCTTATATACATTGGTGAACCACCAACACCCCTTCCCCTTAACATCAAAAGCACTAACAAAAAATAGATTCCCTCAACTGTGTCTATTTGGGAGCAAATCCAGTGTCCCAAATAATTAGATAGCCCCCAAAGCCCCTAGAGATAATAAGAATGCCCACTGCTTAAACCAACTTTCCCACACGCTTCGGACTAGAATAGTGTCAACGTCTGTTTTCATTTCCTGTAGCGTCACTATGGATTCACTCTCGCTATAACATCTTTGATCTTTTTCCCTTTAAGTACACCACCTAATCAATGTTCCTGCTTATCACTCTCATGGACAATTTAAGGACCTCTGTTTCCCACCTACTCCTCCTCTTTGTGCTAATTTCCTAATCCCCGTGCCACATTGTTTTTTCTTTGTACGCAGGTCTTTTGTGATGCCACTACCCTTCACTCCCCAATTCGCACATTAACCTAGGTTTTAAGTTTTCAATGAGTTTGTTTGGGTTGTCCTGATCATGTCTATGAAAATTGCCTTTATGGTAATGGCACTTTTCAGCAGTACCTTACTTTTCCGAGGCATAGGTTGATGTTCATATCCATGCTTGAGATCTGGAACGGGTAGAATATCTTTGCTGGTGATGGTATATCCTCATTTTTTGCTGATAAACCATGCATGGGGAAAAAGTAAGTTAGAGCAAGTATTCAGAGTATGATGCTTACCAAGAGTCTGAATGGTAATTGCCTCAATGAAAAAGTAAGTTAGAGCAAGTATTCAGAGTATGATGCTTACCAAGAGTCTGAATGGTAATTGCCTCAATGTTAAGATTGCATTCCTTTTCCATTTTTGGCATTCTGCATTCTCACATGGATCACCATACCTCTCTAGGCCAACATATCCTTGATACTTTTCACCCATGCCCTTACGTTGCCCTATCTCTGCTTGTTTTATCTGCGAGCATAAATTGTAATCCTTCCCTTATTCCGTTTATGTCCTCTCTTGCCCAAGCTTGTCTTCATATTCTTCTTCTTCTTCCTCTATTGACATTCGGAAAAAGTGAATTGTTCTTCAAAATCCCTTACTGCCCCTTCTACTTCTTCCAATCTGTTATCCCCTCAGAAAAGCAACCCAGTTTTCTTAGTGAATTTCTATCTCAAGGTAAAGAATAAATGATATTCCGTGCATTTGTTTGCATATTTGGTTCTCTGTGAATTATGAATGAATTGTTAGTCCTTTCACTTCCCTAGTGTATATAACAGTGTTCTGTCTTTTTTGTGGTTATCTTTTTGTAGACTTTCTATGATTGAGCATGATTAGTTGAATGAATTCTAAATTCCTTCACTCTCATATTGTATTTTTTTTTTTGTTTGAAATAACACTTTTATATTGTATATTATGATGTTCTGTCTTTTTATGGTTATCTTTTTGTTAACTTTCTATGATTAAGCATGATTGAATACATTTGAAAAAACCAAGTATAACTACTTATTTATGCTGTTTATAAGATTCTGATGGAATGATATCATTATTATTTTTCCTCTCCTTAGTATTTGTTAATAGAAATGAAGTAGCAATGAATTTCTTTTTTTCTTTTCTGTCGACGCAGATTTCATTCAGGAGGCTAAAAATTCAGAGACAATGGCTAAAAACTTTGCGAAAAACAAAATGGTCAGGGTTCCTAGTGTATTTTGGGTATGATATCAAAGTTCCTTCCCTCATCTTTATTTGCTATCTAACAAGTGTTCGTTTTTGGTAGAAATTACATACTTAAATAGCAGCATTAAAATGCGTTGTGTTATATCAAACTTACAGACATGCATATTGTCCAGGATTTAACAACAAGTCATGTATTAACGATGCAGTTTTGTTCGGGACACAAGGTATGATTCGTGGACCTTCTTCATATCATGAATAGGACAAATGATTCTCTGAACCCTAAAACTTTTGACTGGCTTTGCTGGTACCAGGGTTCAACTAATTTCTGGACTATGTGAAGAAAGAGAGTGATAGGAACTAGTTAGGTGTTACCTCCAAAGGCATTTTAATTTAACAGTAAAGCCGCTTACCCCTTTTTGGTTTAGTTGGCTTGCTATCTTGTGATTTAATGATGTGATTCTCTCTGTTAAGCTAACATTCAATCGCAAATCGTATTTCTCATCTTCATTTGCCAGTAACTGGAGTCAAAACTAGCATTTCTCAATCTGGAAAAGGGATGTAAAAGTAATTGGATGTCTTTTGTTTTCATTTTTTTAGGGTTAAAAATGTGCAGTTCAGAGGCACTGTATGCTAACATACAGATTACGCTTTTCACAAGATAAAATTTCAAAGCTCTATAAGATCTTTTTGCGATAGAAAAATTTAAACCAAAAGTTTGAAGCTTCATCACATTGTTGTTTATTTTTGAGAGTGAGTTTATTGGTGCGTCTATGTGTGCTTTGGCTTCAAATTTTATGCTATTTGATCTTGTCCCATCACCTAACCTTCTATAATAACTCTTTTGAGCAAGCGTTTTCTTTTGTTTTTTTTTTTTGTTGTTGGGGGCGGGGGGGAGAGAGGAGGAGACAGATGTTATATCCTCATCTTAAAATTCTTGAAGAATCATTTTTCTATGTGTGTAGGACTTAGTATTATGTTAACTCTTTCTCATCTCTATTAGGTATGTAAAAAACTATCATGCATGCTTTTGACTTGATTTTATTGTACCGCTGATGGGATGTTCCTTAGAATGTCAGGTTACACAGTATTTATGTTATGCTTTGACTTTGCAATGTGCTGCTAATGGAATCTTCCTTAGAATTTCAGGTTGATGATGTAGAGTTTATGAAGAAAATGGGAATAAATCCGGTTAAGGTTTGTCTCTTTTATTTACTAGGGATTAACATTTGTTAGTATATGAAGGGTTTATTACAGGAGCAGTCCTTGAAGTGTGGATGTGCAGGACAAATTAAGGTTAATTTGTCTTTTCAATAATTTGGGGAAAAACCTAGATGTCACTCTCTCAGAATAGCACCTAAGGATTCTTAGCATTACTTTTAAGATTTAATTGCATCTCAACAAGAAATGTTGAGAAAATCTTAAGAACTCTTTATCGAATAGCCGGACTTGTCTCAAAAATGGAATTATAATTGTATTTATAGTGCTTCCTAAGTAATCTTTCCCAAATAGGATTAGGCTAAGAAATATTTGTTAGTAATATGATTAGGAAATACTAATCCAAGTACAATATAAATCAAATCCAAAATAATTAAATTTCTAAATAGAATGGTTAAGAAATACAATTTCTAATCTATTTAGAAGATTTAGTTCATGTTCATCTCCATCATATGGACTTTTATCCTTTTCCAAAACTAGAAAGTAGCAACCGTGGCTTAAAATTTCCAATTATTCGCAGTTGACACTACTTTTACTTCCACTAGTTTTGATTTATTGTGAAATTCAACATATTGAAAAAAATGAATTTGCTCCCCAATAGTCATTAAAGTTTTCAGTTCTTACCTATTTTTGGATTGATACTTAGGTGTGAAATTATCTTTCAATAAGTGTTGAATTTGATTGTGTTGGTCAAAATCGATGGATATAGGGATATTGTTGATTGCAATCAATTAAAGTGTCGAGGGTCTCAGATACAAGCCAGCCAGAGAGGCTTTTGGAATGCTGCATCATGGTCTTCTTTGTGAATCTGTATTTTTGGCAATTGAAATCCTTTTCTATTCTTCAATATCCATTTCAGAAACTGGATGGATATAGTTTTTCTACGAATGCGGATATGATGATTGGCTCTATTATACACCATTGGCAAATTAAGGAGTTCTCAAAGCCTTAATCACTGAATTTATGTCGTCTCAAAAAAATTGTTGAATTGATAAGCTTCTGGCAATATATTCCTGTTCGGTGAAGCAAATATTTTTCCAATGTTGTGTTGTCTTTTTCCAATTTTGTCATTAGGTTGCCAAAGTGTTGGCAGAAGTGTTTGCTGAAATGATATTTCTTCATGGCTTCCTGCATGGAGATCCACATCCTGGTAATCTACTAGTTTCCCCAGAAGGTCAAAATGGCTTTATTTTAGGTACGTCCATGTTGATGACACCATACCCATTTGGATTTAGGAGAAAATGTTTTATACAATTAAGATCACTTGCCATGTCTTGTGTTCTGTTTCAAACTATGCAGTTCTTTTAGACTATGGAATCTGCAAAAAGTTGGACGAAAGATTTAGACTGGACTATTGCGAGCTCTGGAAGGCTCTAATTCTATTAGACTCCGATAAAATAAAGAATCTCGGCGAAACATTTGGTGTTGGGAAGTACTCAAGATTCTTTCCCCTTATTTTTACAGGAAGAACTATTGACAGGTATTTGTTATGCGCCACCCTGTTAGTTTTCTCAGTAATAGATATATTTGCCAATTGATGCACATTAGCATTTTTTTCCCAAAACTTTCAAGTAGAGCTCCTAGTTTACAACACAAGGTATTGATAACCAAAATGCTCAGCGCATATAGGTTTATGTCAGATTTAGTATGCATTCAGACACTTGTACAATGTAGTGTTACATATCATTTACATCAGTCACATATCAATTGGGTATTGTTTTAAGTTTTGTTTAGGGTTGTATATGAACCCATGCACTAAAACATAAGATGTACTGTCACAAGTTGTGGAAAGAATGCAGAATATATTTTCTTTTTCTTAAATATAAGAAATTAATTAGAAAGAGAGAGAGAGATGTTAGAAACAAGAGCAAAAGGATGAAGTATCCTCGAAAACACAAAAGTACAAGAAGATAAATTAAAAAATTTAAGACAATGCAGGATTTGAAAAATGAACAGAAACCTTAACAACTGTGAGAAAGGTACTGCTAAGACATTGCAATGTTACTTCTGCAGTTGAGGATTTGGTCCTTTTCAAGCTAAACCATTGTTGTCATTGCATGAATTTGAAATCAGCTCCTAAAATCCTTTTCCATCGAAATAATGATAATAATAAACCCATGGTCCTTTCACTATCTTGGGGCGTGTTGGTGTGTTGGATCCATGACTTACAAGTTGGATCTTCCTCTAGAGACACATTTCAATCCTGTTTTTCATGATTCTTTTCTGTAGTCTCATAACATTATTTCTATGGATCTTCCTCTTCGTTATGTGTGATAGTACTCTCACACAACTTCCTTAGGAAATCTTGGATGCATGTTCCCGTGATGGCTAGCATGAATTTCTCATTCATTGGGCAAGCTTATCTCTTGTTGAAGTTCTTAATGAATACACTTCTTTCACACACACACACACATATATCTACAATTTTTTTTTCGGGGGAGGGTGCTAGGAAGTGAAGAATAATGTTATAAATTTGAAAAGATATGTGATTGTTGAACTCCATAAAAGAGTTCACGTCATATATTGCCAATTACTTGAGTTTTTATTTTTTAATGACTGGTGGTATTGGTCCAAAAGGTTGTTGAGATAGTGGTATTTAGGCTCGTGGCATTACAAATAATATCAGAGTATGTGCTAGCTTGGGGACCCTAAGGTGATACAATCTTAAACCTTTCAATTAAATTTTGTGATTCTGATGTGTGATCTTAATGATTATATGAAGGATTTGAATCGTGGAGGTTGTAATAACCCAATCCTACATTGGAAAAATATTTGATTGTTGAGATCTATATCAAAGCTGAAGTCACATACTCCAAGATCTTAAGTTTGACCTTTTGAGTGCCAGTGGTTTAGATTCAAAAAGTTGTTGGGTTGTGGTGTTTGGATTCGTGACATTACAAATTACTTTATCAACATTTAAATAAAAGAATCTAAGGGCTAATTTTTGAATTACTTATTTAAAATATTGTTTTAGTTGTATAATTTAGTAATTTGTATTTGAAGTGTAATAAAACATAACAATTAAGTTTTAACTAGTTGGATGAATGTTGCGTAAGAAAGATGCTTGAAGTTAGGTAAGGGTAAAAGATAATTATGGTAGTTGAAAGGGTAGTTATTCCTGTAAAATAGGAGTGGTATTCTTTAGGAAGATTTGTAACATAACAATCAAATCATGGAAGGAATAATATGTAGGAAAAATTTCAAAATTTATTTAGTGTTCATGAGATTCAAGGGTTTCCTCTAATGAGCCCTTACTAAAACAAATTTATAGGTGGAAGAGAAGAAACAGCAAGAATGCAAGTTCCTACTCAGACTTTTCTCTTCATCGACTCATAACAAGTCCAAATCTTAGGGACCACAACATTTGGTATCAAAGCCATTTATTATGTGTTGAGGGAGAGCAGGTTGGATGACTAAAAGAGTGAGGGTCATTATGGCACTAGTAATTGATGGTGAATTAGCATGGATTAGGAGGGTTTTTGACGTTTTTCTCCAGATCAAGGGTCATGATGACATTTGGTTTTGCTCTTCTCAGCTTTTCACAGAATTCCCGTATTTGTTTCCATTTGCCTGAAGAAAAGTTGCTTTTGTGGGCGGCTGTTTCACAATGGTTGGTGGTCAAGTGGTGTGGAAGGTGGAGGTTGAGGAACTTGATTGACTAGGAGGAAGATGACTCCATTTCTTTATTGCACAAAATTGAAACCAAGCAAACTTCTTCCTCAAGGAAGGATGAACCTGTGTTGAAGCTTTGTTCAAAAAGCTAATTCTCCTTAAGTTTTCCTATTTGTCAACCTGACTTCTGCTAGTCCATCTCATTTCTTTGGAAGCAGATTTGGAGACAAAATGCCTCTCTTAGGATAGCTGTTGTTTTCCCTTGGCAAGCTGCAAGGAGTCATACTTTCACTATTGATGACTTTGAACCTTCTAAGAGTGCAGTTTGTCATGGTTGGTTCAATGGCAGATGAACTGCGGGTATGGCCAGGTATCTTAGATGATGAGGAAGGAAAAGAATTATTTCTCTTATCCTTCTAGTTACTTGTGAGTTATTTGGATAGAAAGAAATAGAAGAACTTTTGAGATGTTTACTATTCTTTGGATAGAGTGCAGGATGCTTGGTTTCAGCCCCTTTACTTTTTGTTTAAGGGTGTGATCTGCTCAATTCAGCGGAAGATCTAGGGTTCACCATTAAATTAAGATCCTAATTAACTTGTAAATTCTTCCTTTACTTTCTTTTATGTTTGGGCTGCACTCTCTTGATGCTTTTTAATGAGTTCTTCTTTTATTATTAAAAAAATTGCAGAATATTAGGGGCTCCATTTGGTACATGAAAATATTTTGTAGTTTCTATTTTATATTAAAATAACATTATCCCTTGGTCATTGGGAGGGGTGGTATGGATAAAATAGTCTGCATTTGTTGCATGTTAGAACATTCATATTAATCATGTAACTAGATTTTCTAACTGTTAATATAATTAAATCTTTCCCTTTTGGCTCGGTGCATTTCCGAATCATCAATTTTTTAATAAAAATTGAGTTATTATAGTGTTCTTCAGTATTCAACAGTAAATCAGCACTGGGAAAGGGGATGTCAACTGAAGAGAAAAATAAACTGAAGCAGGAGTTGAAGTTATTAAAGATGGAGGACATATCCTCATTCATGGAGTCTCTGCCGCCTGACTTCCTCACGATATTGCGTACAGAGTAAGATTTTTGAGTTGTCAATTTATATTCTACGCTAGCTTTCCCAGCCTTAAATTTCTTTTTTCTTATTCCAGTGGACTACTAAGGTCTGTTATTAGCAAGTTGGGTGCTTCACAGCAGGTGAGGCTGCTAGCCTATGCCAAATATGCCTTATATGGTCTCTCTCCAAAGTCAGATCATAAATCTGGTAAGTTTGATGGTAATTTGTCTTGCTGTCCGGGAAACCATTCTAATACTAGACATAGAGAACATAAAGCCTCTTTTAGAAAATAAAGTCGGCATCTTTTGCAATAAAATGCGGACATAGGTGCATTGAGAGCTTCGTCCTATCAAGACTGTCTATGCTAAGGTTTCCCAATCCGCCCAACCCCCAATGTCCTGTGACATTAGTTTCATCAGAAATTACAAATCAAGCTGGTAATTATTTGACTCTTCTTTGTCTTGCAGTGAAAGCAGTTCTCTCCAGATTGAAAATAACTGTTAGTTACCTTCAATTAAGACTTGTTCTTGGTAAGAATGATTTCTTTTCACATATGTTAACAACATCTAGCAATGAAAAAATAAAGTAGCATATTGTGTTCCAGGTGTGTTAGAGCTATTGCATAGGATGCGGAAGTTCAAACAATCTCTATATGCCTTATATGAAAGAATAAAATGCAATATCAGGTGCCTTGTGACCCTTTATTGAGTTATCAATACTTCGGCTTGGATGCTCTATACTAGTTTGTTTATCAGCAAATTCTCGCTGGGAGGACGGCTCACTATTGTTTCTACCACTGTTGTGGATGCAGGAGCAGTTAGTATTTTATTCAGCAATTAGAAGGAAAGGTGAGCAATATATCTTATATTTAATATGCTGTATCAGCACATGTGATTAATTTTAATCAAGTTATATTGATGAATAGTACATGACTTAATATTTTTTTGGTAACTATTAATTTAAATATTGTTGAGTTATATTACATAATTATTTTTAAAAATATTGTTTATGTAAAAGCCGATAAAGATAGTGAGTTTGACCGGTGAAAGGGTAGAATAAGTAAATAGAAGGTATTGAGTTAAATGGAGGATATAAAAATTTACCTGCAGATTAAGGATGAATAATTAAATTTAAATCCATTTAGGTGTAAGTTTTTTTTTTTTTTTCAATTACGAAATGATTAGTCCAACTCCATTTGTTTGGAAGCCCATGGTAGAGGACGGGATAAGGGATGAGAGGTTTACTTACGGGGTGAGAATGGGAGGAATAACCCATGCCACTTTGGGCATGGATATTCATTTGAAATTCAGTTAAAAATCTATTATTTTATTTTGTAGAATAAACTGTTTTTCGGAAATACATTTTGTGAAATAAACTGATATTTTTCTAATTTCAAAGTTGATATTTTTAATTATATTTACTTGAAGACTTTTTAATTGTAAAAAGTGTCAAACTCTCTTAGTGTGACATACAGCATCATCAAAAATTACCACATTCGTACTAAGATCAAACACTCTAGGACAGATGGTGTTCAGCTAAACTAGGTTCGTTAAGAAGTAAGATTTTATTTTTGGCGAAGGACCTATGTAGATTGTGAGCATTCCAGGCCCAGCCTAGTAGAAAACCAAGCAAACTTCTTCTCAGCTTTCACGTCGCTCCTATCTTTTCAAAGACTTTCTATGCGGTTTCACTTCCCAACTTTTTTGATAAATTATTATATTAATATTGATACATTACAATTTAACTTCTAATATATTTTTTAAATATTAACTTCTGAAGTATCTTTTTATTAATTCAAAAGTTTAGTTTTTTTATTTTTTAATATAAAAAATTAAAATAATTACAATATGATTAGTTACGCTAAGAAATCATTTCAAAAAAATTCTAATTAACTCATTTAAATTAATAAATTAATAATAATATTTATATTTTGTTTTATTAATTTATTAATTTAAATTAATTAAAATCATTCTCAACGTCTTTCTAAATGGTCAAAAATGACAATTTTTAATCCTTTAGAGGAGATGAAAGAAACTCAATATTTAAATCGAACGAAAAATCTTAAATATTAGATTATAATACAAAACATTAAAAACTAGATACTATATTATAATAAGAAATATTAAAAATTAAATTATAATGACTACTTAAATTTCAAATTTTAATTTGGTAATTTAACTTACAATTTTTAAGCATGTCAATGAAACATTTTTTTCACCGCAACAAATTTGTTCAGGGCGCCGCAATATTATCAGAATCAGCATAAATTAAACAAAGCTAAAATGGTGTCCCAACAATATGATTGAAAAATGAGATGTATACGGTCTACAATGACCTTCAGAAGACACCCTCCCTTAATCTTTCTCACTTTCTTTTATTGCGTCCGATCATATAACTGGATTACAGAATATCTGCCAACAAACATAAAAACCATGTTAGTATCATGCGGCAGAACTTGTGCTCTTAAGAACTGACTAAAAACAATACATGAGTTTACGGGAGTGTTCGGGTTAAAACTCATCAATATGAAATCTACAATGGATGAAAAAAATGAAAAGTACATGGGATGACGGGTTCACACCTAAACCAACGAAAGCATGTTTGCAATGAATCTTTAAACTGAAGAAATGCGGTCATGATCCAATCTTTATACCACTCAAAATTTTAATTAGCACATACACTCATGTAGCTATGTAATAATTCTTAGATTAAAGTTTAGAACATATGAAGGATGAAGTTCTGTGTTTGTAAATAAATTGAAAAATGAATTCTTTGAATTTAAACAATCACGAACTTCTAAACATTTTATAAATTCAACTGAACTATGATGTTTAGAGAAACAGGAAGAGGGTTAAAGTAAGGTACAAAAGATTTTTTTAAAAGCTTTTTGCACCAACCTTTGAAGTTCATTTTTGATCATCAAACTTAATAAGATTCAAACATAATATAATTCATTTTTAAGTTAAATTCTAGGAGAAGTTACTGTGTTAGCTCTAAAAATATTTATGAATTGTTTTCAAATTCATGATAGTTTTATACACTTGCAAAAAGCTTTATCAGAAAATAACAGAAATATTATCTATTTTGTCCCTTTTTGTTAGTTTTGAAAATCATAACTAAAAATTATCTTTAAGAAAAACAATTAATTAATTTTATTAAAGTTATACAGATGATAATAATAAATATTCAAAAAAAAATTATGTTTTTGAAGTCATCTTTTATGTTAACCCAAGTGATAAGGAACTTCTGCTATTTTTGTAAAAAATTATAATATTTCCAAACAACTTTGTAAAGTTCAATAACTAATTTATAAGAGGGAAAAAGTTTTACAATGCAATTGCAACATAACTCATACTTCTAGAATTAAATGGGTAATTTGGACTGAATTCTACCATTTGGAAAATTGGATACCATATACAGTAGGTTCCATTGTTCAAAAAACAGTCTACCAATTTTTTAAAGAGGGAAACAAGAGAGAGCAGAAGACTCCAAACACCAGGAAAGCTCCACACTATATATTCAGAAATTTTCTAAAAAATTAGCAAACATCTTAAAATTTGAACTAGTTAGAGTCAACTTACAAAGTTAAGCTTTCAGTCTTGCTCTCAGCTCCTCTGCCACGGCATCAATGAACCCCTCGGTGTTCAGATATTGGTCCCGTGTAACCCTTAAATAGCGAATATGTGATGAATAAAACATCAATAAAAGAAATCACATAGAGGCCAAGACCAAACACATTTGAGGTTTTTTTCGAGGTACTCACTTTGGTCCATGGATAAGAAGTGCAAGATCTTTTGTCATCTTCCCAGATTCTACAACTCCAATACAAGCAGCTTCTAGTTTCTCGGTAAAATCCAACAGTCTGGCATTCTCATCCAACTTTGCCCTGCCAGAAAAGAGTATACCAAATTAGCACCCAATATGAACTTTCAAATAATCAACAGATCAAAAGCTGTAACTTCAAGGTACCTGTGTGCAAGTCCTCGTGACCATGCAAAGATAGATGCTATGCTGTTTGTGCTAGTTTCACCACCTTTCTGATGAACCCTGTAATGTCTCGTAACTGTACCATGGGCTGCTTCTGCTTCTATTGTCTTCCCATCAGGGCAGACCTGAACCAAATTTCACAAATTAGCAAGTCAAAAGTAAATAAACACAGTGGAATTAGCTGAAATGATCATGCATGCAAGGGTTGAGAGAAATGTCATTAAAGCTTCAATAGAGGTTCCACTGGAAGTATTAGCACATATAGCATTACTATTTTTTATTTCACTTTGCTATTCCTATTGTGAAGTGTGGAATACTCTTTTCTGTTTGGTAATAATAATAGAAATTTAATAAGTTGCAACTATCACAAGATAAAAAGGTCATCTCATGCAATATGTTAGGTTAAGGAAGAATACCTGGAAAATACTAATAATCGAAATCTTCTGCAAAGCTAATATGAATTTTTTTTTTTTTTTTTTAGTAAAGCCACTAAGCTAATACGGTTACATGCCTTTATTAAATAGTAATTATACATATTTTATTGAAATTTATATTAACTACTGAGAGAGAGAAAAACATGCCACCACCCATAGTAAATTGAAAACTTCACAAATTGATTTGAGATGTACCAGGACAGATGTCATCAATCCAAGAGATCCGAAACCTACATGAAAACAATTATAAGTTAGTGATTCAGCTTTCACTAGAGGGAAATGGATGTTTCATCTACTTTCTTCAGAAACCTTCAAAGTTAAAACACAAAAAACAAGTCTCTAATCCTTATGTTAAATTTTACATTCACCAGCAGCTTGTTATGCATACCTTGGGCTAAGAAATCACTTTGTACATCCCCATCATAGTTCTTGCAAGCCCACACATATCCCCCTTCACTCTTGAGAGCATAAGCCACCATATCGTCAATAAGACGGTGTTCATACCTTCAAATTTAATCATACAGGTTAGAGAAAAACACAGTGAAGCAGCAGTAATTACAATTCTGACAAAAGTAGGCAAGAACTCACCATATCCCGGCAGCCTCAAACTTAGATTTCCATTCAGCCTCATAAACTTCTTGAAATATATCCTTAAATCTTCATCATACAAACAGATATAACTTAAAATATATTGAAGCACGAGGCTAAAAGCATATTTTCAACGAAGTACCAGAAGAGCAATACAGTAAAAGAATGAGTTTAGAAGCCAGGTCAACCAAGTAAACACACCTTCCATCATATTTCTTAAGAATAGTATTTTTGGTGCTAAGATAAAGTGGCCACTTTTTCTGGTAAGCAGTTGCCATTGAAGCCTCGGCAAAAGAACAGATAGACTGCATTCATGTTTCAGATATAATTTAACAAAATCAGTCAGTTGCAACAACACTGAATCCAATGCTAAGGGACAAGAAAGTAGCAGAACCAAACCTCATCAGTGTTATACATGGACAACGCTACTCCCCCAGCACCAGTAAAGTTGAAAACCTCCAACTCTGTCTTCTCATCTTGTCCTTCTGGAACTGCAAGCAATTTACATATTGAAGTCCTATAAGTTATAACCCATTCCACAGACAAAGAAGGTCAAGAAGTGGCATTTTTAAATATTAAAATAGAATACTAAAAGCAAATCTCTGAAACCATAAAAATTTACCAAAAACCAACTTAAGTTTCCCAGCCCCTTTGATGACTGTATCAGTGGCACGATACTGATCTCCAAAAGCATGTCTTCCAATGCATATGGGCTTTGTCCAACCTGACAATATAATTATCAGCATGGTATAACTTCAGACCGGCACAAAGGAATGAACAGCAATAATGTCACCAAAAAAAAGTACCTGGGACAAGCCGGGGAACATTTTTGCAAATAATTGGTTCTCTAAAGACAGTACCTGGGAATAATACCAACCACCAAACCTCATCATGAACCAGCTTGTAATGCATGCAACAGGGTTAGATGAAAATGATAAGGTGAAGTTGTTACTGACCATTTAGAATATTCCTAATGGTCCCATTTGGACTTTTCCACATGTACTTCAAATTAAACTCCTTCACACGAGCTTCATCTGTTTATCACCAAATTTGTACTGTTATTGAGAAGTTTATTGTAGCAGCAAAAATATAAATCTTCAACCAACTCAAGAAGTACTTTGAGATCAAATTCATCCATATATACCTGGAGTAATTGTAGCACACTTGATTGCAACATTGTACCTAAAAGAAGAATTGGATTGCCATAGTTAAATACAACGCAAACTTCTTCAGTAACCAGATAAGCAAAAGACTGCAATGTCTAAGAAACACCATATTCAAACTAAGAATAAGATCTCCGCTAAAAAGGAAGAAAAGCATGGCAAACCAAATTATTTCAGCATAATCAAAATGCAAAAATAGTAATTGTCAAGTGAAAAGGTTCAACAAGCACAGATGCATGATCGGTAAGCGTAAAACACATACTTGCGAGTAGCTTCTGCACTTTCAATTGTGACTTTGTCATCAGTTGCATCACGATTTGGAAGGCCAAGATCAAAGTACTTAATGTCCAACTCCAAAAAGGGGAAAATAAGCTGTAGAAATATCAAGGCCATTTATGCATATAAGCAACAGTGTCAAAACTTTTGACAAAAAAGAGCACATTTGATTGCAGATGATTTATTTCCCACATCACCTTATCTTTGATTGATTTCCAGAAAACTCGAGTCATTTCATCTCCTGTTACATGAACAAAGAATTACATTATGAGAAAAAGCATTCCACTAAAAGATGCATTTGGCTAACAGTCTCAGTACAAAGCACAATAGTTCCATTTAAGATGCTAGCATTGCTAGGAAAACCCCACTACAATGAGTTAGGCCTTGCATAATGATCCTCTTTCATATCCATTGTGGTCCAACAAAAAATGAGTGCTGCCAACAAAAGACCTATTTCCAGTTTCACTGAGAGCAAACAAAATTTGTATATGTTCTACATCTTAAAACAAAGTTAAACTGGAAAAATATTAGAATCACATGAAATTTAAAAAAGAAAAAAGGAAAGCTAGCACAATCGATATGGAACTTTAAAATTCAATCTTGAGGTGCATCAGAACCAAACTACCTTTTGATAGAAATTAAAAATTATTTGTAGTACGAGAAAAGAGATTTTAAAAATAAAACAATAAGGCACCATCTGCAAGTTAGTTTTATCCAATTTAAAATAAAAAGCTCTAGTCAGCTTCATCAGAGAGAAAGCTTCCTAGTATTAAATCAAAACTACTTTTTGAGAGAGACAATAAAACATTACTTTTAGCATGAGAGAAGAGATTTCAAAAATAGAACAATAAGACACCATCTGCAAGTTAGTTTTATCCAATTTAAAATAAAAAGCTTAAGTCAGCTTCATTAGAGAGACAGCTTCCTAGTATTAAATGATTAAAAAATGGTCCATTGAACTGGTCAATGAAAGTATATATTCCATTGGAGAGCATGTTTAAGATTTGTAAACGAAATGCTTATACATTCTGTTAATACAACTACGAACGGCGAAGTAATCATATTGATCTTAAAATAATACCTTTCGAGAAACTTTGCTCCAAATCCAGATTTCATAAAAAAACTCACTAACTATAAGATTAAACAAGTCAAACCTATGAATTCGTATGGAGAACCAAGGTCAAACTGGAACCAAAAAATAAATTATCAAACAGATCTCATGCGGCAAATCGACGACAAAGTAATAAATTCGTTGAAGTAAATAGGTCCTCTAACCAAAAAAAAAAATCCAATTCAATATACAAACAGAGATATTCTGTTTCGATCCTAGGATCTTAAAAAGCTATTCTCACTTTTCCACGTTACAGACCGATCAGGATCTTGTGAGTTTTGAAATGTTATCGGCGATTAAAATAAACAAGTACAGATCTGTGAATCGATGAGTTAAAACGATGAGACCGGATTCATGAAACTGTTATTGGAAGATACAGAGAGAAATAGTCTCACCGTCCATCTCGACGATGGGATTGGCAACCTTGATCTTCTCAAATGCCATTTTCGCGGGATATCTCTCTAACTATCTGTTTCTGCTGCTACTAATTTGAGTAGCCTCTGTAGGTTAGCAGAAAGAAAAAGAGATAGTCAGAGATGGTGCGAAGTTCTCCGCCGATTTGCGCAAATCAGGCGATAGGGAAATTGGCTGACTGTCGAGAAGAGAGTTGAGGATTGAATCTTCCCTTTTTATATTGATTGTGTACGGTATATTGTACATTTGCATATTGCCATTACACCCCTTTACTTTTTATCCACGGATTTCATAAAATTTACGAAAATGCCAACACAACCTCCAGCATTTAGTAACTTGTTTATTTATAATATATGTAAGTTAGAATTAAAATAAGATAATATCTAAAAAAATTAAATTAATAAATTGTTTTTATGTTTCCCTAAGAATAAATTATATTTTAAAATAAATATATAATATTAAATAATTTAGTACAAATTGACTTAAAAATACTAAATATTTATATTTTTAGAAAGCTACTAATAAAATTATTATAAACATTAATGCATAACTATTATATAAAAAATTTATTGTTATATTTTGTAATTTAATTTTGTATAATATAGTGAGAATGCAAAAATTTCAGTTAATTTTAACAAACATCAACTGAAAAAAAAAATAATTTATTAAGAAAAGTTTGATATAATGAGTTTGAAATTGCATGTTTTTAAATATTAAAATATTAAAAATATTCATTCCGGTCTATAATGGCAATATTGTAATTAAGTTAAAATTTGGAGGTCAAAGAATTTTGGTCAAAGGTGAGATCATAACCGGATCGTGTTCGCGTTCATGTTCGCCAACCTGGGCCCCCTCACCTAACTCCGCATGAAATTATATGGTAGCATTTGGAAGAAAATCCCTCCAACTACCCCCTTTAAAAAATATCTCCAATTCACCGAGCCTTGTTTGCAATTTTTGACGTTATACAAAATCACGTGGTGACTGAGTTTTTTTAATTGGATTGTTTATGATATTTTGTTTTAATTTTTTAGTTAAATAAGTTGTTTAAGTAATAAATTTTAATTCAATGATTATTCATTTTATTTTATGTTAAAACTTTAAGTTTTTTACTTTTAACTCAGTGTAAAATTAATATACTGTTAAAAAAAAAATTTAAAATTAAAAAAAGTCTTATTCTGTTTTTAAAATAAAAAATATGACAGTTTTTTATAATAAATTAGATCCATTATTGAGATTTATTTATTTTTATTATAAATTAAATTTAAATATTACATTCTAATTTATTGGGTTAATAATAAAATATTTTTTTTGTTAAGTATATTAATTTTTCATATTCTTAAAAATAATAATTATTTTTTTTGACAAACATATGACTGCTTTTTTTTTAAGTAGTAGAAAAGTTTTACGAACCATTATGTTCGATAATAATTGGATCTCTTGAGAATATCATTCATCAAATAGTGGATAATATCATTCACAAGCTTGTCATTTCATGGGGAGAAAAATTATAATAAATAAATTTATTAATTAAATATTTTTCAAAAATTATTAATAAATTCAACCAAATATTAGATCCTAGATAAGCATCTTCACTTTAAACTTTTATTAAAAATTATGAAAAATAGATTTTAAAATATTTAATTATATATATATATATTTTTTAAAAGACTTTCTACAAAGGAAGTAGCCGCCGAAATTGATGAAGACAAGTCGGAGTTTTCTAGAAGGCTCCTTATTATATTACCCCAGGGCATAGAGGGCTGCACAATCAAATTTGGGAACTGGCATTTCTTGTCCGACTAACCCAGGGGAAAACTACATTCAAATCTCTGCTTCCCACCCGTCCTCGTCAGTGGTTATGGGTTCACATGCTCTATCCATTAACAAAAATATCCCCAATCCAAAAGTATCCCCTCCTCATATTCTGAATATTTATTATATGTAAAAAAAATTATTGATCACAATTTTTTCGGTGTTTTTAAAGGAGAGAAATGTAAAAGCCTTCCAAAGGGTAAAATTAAAGAGGATAATGATTTTGATTACTCTTTGATTTTTTGTTATTAGATCATATTTTGTACTCTATATAAAAGTTAGTGATAGATGCGTAAAAATCTTGTATGTGAATTAACATCTTCATATCAAATCAATTGTGTTATTACATAAGATTTTTTTTCGTATTTACATATATATATATATATATATATATATATACTAGAGCATATGAAATGATATTTTTTTTTTTAAATAAAGAAAGGAGATTGACATTGTCGTATTGATGACTCAGTTCGATAAGTCCAAATATTTTCATTGATTCCTAGCCTATACATTTTGACAATCTCTATACCCAGAAAATCTGTGTGTGTGAAAACGAAGGGGCAAAAATTCAACACATTTGCCTCTTTCTGTTGACTTACTGATCCGAAGTATTACCAGATTAAAGATCGATTGAAGTGAGAAGTAATAGAGATAGCCGGAAGAAGGAAATATCAGTTTAATAAACTCTTACTGGGAAGTAGACCTTATCTGATCTCAGTCCTTTCCGTAGACGTACTTGTCCAGAAATGCTTTGGCCAGATTACTGAAGCTCACACTTACGGATTCAGCAGCAGCATATTTTTCAATAACATCGACCACTTCCTGCTTCAAAATATCCTCTCTGCTCGATTCGTTACACAGATAATAAAGAGCCCCAAGAGCATAGTTTACCTAGCAATCACGAAAAAAATTTAAAATGTACACATATGTATTATTTCTGTCTGTTCAGAATATCCTCTTTGCTTGATTTGTTACACAAATAACACCACGAGCATAATTTACCTAGCAAACATGAGATAGTTTTAGCACATGCATGCAAGTAGTTTTAGTTTGTCGAGCTGGCCAAAAACAAGATTCCAGCAAGAGTGCTTAGTCCATTGTTTAAGTCAACTAGAAGGAGATGAAGCAAAGAGTAGCCACAGCAACAGGCCAAAAACACTTCCTTGAATTCTTCTGAATTTGGCCAGTCAAACTCAGTTCGAGTTCAATCAAAACTGAATTCGAGCATGAAATTTTCAATTAACTAAATAAGATGAACTTGAGCACGAAGATATTTTGTTCAAAAGCCCATGAAAGTGCTTGTTATCCAACTAATAAGTTAAATATATTATGTACAGTTTCATAAAAATTTACTAATATTTTACATGATAAAAGATATAGATATTAAACAAAAGTTTGTCAAGTTTGATTTTGTAAGGTTTAATATTATTTGAACTCAAAGTCGAGCTCATTTAGGCTAGACTTCTTACCTAACTATTTTTGAGGCAAGTTCGAACTCTTTGCTTCTTTAGAAGAAAACCAATTTTAAAGTTCCAATTACTCTTCCAGTTTAAGTCAAGGTTGATACTTGAAAAAATAAACTCAAGTGATTGGATATTCAAATCAACTTGGCTCATTTCCATCCTTAACAGAGAGCTTTAGAAGGAACAACACAGGACACCCCTTGTCATAGGGATGTTGACCTTAAGTTTGGGGGTTTATTGGTCATAGTCTCACTAACAAGCGAGTGCTAGGGATGTTGACCCTAGGTTTGGGGTTTAGTGGTCATATTCTCACTAACAAGCCAACGCTCATATAGAATTATACTTCTGGTTATAATAATCTTGCTCATTTTCTTTGATAGAAATGCCTCTAGTACAAGAAGTCAACCTATAGTTTCTGTCAAATATTGAAGTTGATAAAGTTAAATCCCCAAGAACCAAAATCTAGGGCTAAAAGAAAGACCAAAACAACACCACTTACAGTGTTTCTAACTGGGCTTGACAAACAATTTATAACTAGAGGAATTCCACCACACTGGATGACAACCGCGACATTCACTGGATCTGAAATAATGGGAAACAGAGAAGCAATAAGAATATATTGATGCAATGGAGACTAGTTGCTCATAATTAAAATGGAAAAATGCCAAAAAAGAATTTTGTATATATACACTAACCTTGAAGTCTACAAGAACTAGGTGGACTTACCAGCACAAGAGTTGCAGATGCCTCCAATCCCAAATTCAACTAGTTTCTCATTTGGTTCTGTTATGCAGTCTAGGAAAAGTTCCAAAACATTTAGCTGTTTAAAAATAAAAGAAAAGAAGATACAAACATGCACATAAGTTTAGCACTTCAAAGACTACACAAAATTTCACGAAAAACGTTCGGCTCTGCAAATAACACAAAATAAATGTTTTCAACCTGCCGTAAGAATGAATAGTTGTAGGGATCATAAGCAAAGTTTGCTAGATTTGCAACAATCTTGTCTTTTGTTTCTGCAAATAGAAAATCAATTAGTTATTAATAACATGGAATCAGGACGAATACTTTAATACCACAAAAAAAAAGAAAGCAAAAATAAATGAAATTGTGTCTCTGCCCATTGTCAGTTGTACATCGAGCAGAACCCAGATTTGAAGCTACAATGTTTCAATTGCGGGAATTCTACCATTTGAAATGGCAAAAGCTATCATCTAATCAAACATCTTATGCAGATATGAATTTGTTTTCCAGCCAAAGCAACAAGAAAAAAAAATATAGATATATATAGTGACATGACATGGAAAACATATTGAAATAGTAACATGATATACCATTAACTCATTTTATAAGCAAAAAAAGGTAAGCAGTAATCTAGAAATCCTTTTTCTCAATTAGATTATTATTCGCACTTTTAGATTATCTATAGAAATTATGTAACATCTACAAATTTCCAAACGAGTAATGGTCCCCTGTTGACACCTTTTGGTTTCAGTAAGTGCCATCATCTTGAGGCTTGGCCAAATAGGCACAACCATCAAGAAGAAGAAAAGGAAACTCAAACAAAATCTAGCTTCTTTCTTAACAGGGAATTATTACTGTTGCAAAGCAACACAGATATATTAAAGTCAAATCTGAGGGAGGAAGAGGGAACATATTGCACACCAGGCCCCAACAACTCAACAATAAGTTCTTAGTAAGTAGTAAATTCTCTGAAAATGAGCCACAGCTCAACAATTAGGATACATGCTCTCTCCTTGCAATTTTCATTTTTTTAATAGAAAAATAGACACACACACAAACATGTCTATATTATCAAGGAAAGACAATAGAAAGAATGAGGATAAGATGACCTCACACAGAAAGAAAAAAAAATCAAGAAAGAACAAAAGAGGAAAAGGCACTGGTAATATAGCCTACCATTTTCTTTGCAAAGTGCATAAAGGTAATGCCTGAAAGAACTCAAGTGCCTTAACCCATACAGAGGCCATGAAAAGCACTTGCCCCAATAACAAGAGTATGGTTAACTCAATGATTAAAAACTAAAATTCCACTCCATTATAGAACCTAACGTCCAACAAGATTGACTCTCTTCAGTTTAAGTCATTGTCCTTCAAAAAGAACTTTTTCCTTATATCACTTGTTCCAAGCATTTCCTTCCAGATTAGAATTCAGTGTTTATCTCGGCCCATACTCTGATTCAAGACACTAAAAACAAATGAAAATAAAACACTAAAAACACAGCAACGTTTGGTGTTTGCTGGAAATAACATGTCCACATAGCAAGCTAAGACAACACAATAAGAAAAATGAGAATAGCTGAAACTACTAAAATTTTTGTCCACAATTCAGAGAAATAGGTTACCGCTGGTGTGAGTTCCTTGTACCAAACCAGCAACAAAGTAGAAATTTATGCAATGGAAAGAAAAATGTTTGGAGCATAATTTAACAGTTAAAGATATAATACTCTAATTTAAGAGCAGCATACCTTCATCAGTTGCATTCTGAAACTGACTCACCAATTCCTAGAACCAAACAGGAAATAGACCTCAGTATCCTTAAGTGGAGTATCTTTGCAATTTGACACAAAAGACACATCAACCAGCTTTTTGCAAGGTCTTAAAATTTGTATTGCAAAAATAAGGATAAAAATAGCCTTCTTGGTCAAATAAAGAGAAGGAAGGAAACATTCATTTTGCTGGCATTTTTACGTTTGTTGTAGCTCTTTATCTAACTTATAGTCCAACAAAGCTAAAAGGACTCCTCGTTAAAGCAATAAAATCAGAAACAGAGTGTAGTACCTGCAGATATTGCATCCTAGGGGTTCCATATTTCCCAGTACGTTCTTCTTGCCTTCGATGATTGGTAAACATGTAGGCTTTTCTAGTAAAAAATTGAACTAGAAACATAAAGAACCATCCAACAAATCTGCCATCATTACAAATTTATATTGCCCATTGCAGAGTGTAGAAACATATATACTAAGCAACTACTTAATCTAATAAAAGCATTCCTAATTTCTATCTTTAGGGAGAAAAAATATCCTACTAAATAAGAAAAGAAAAAATCGAAGGGACAATTTTGCTTCGGTGATAAACATCACAAACCTATTTTCAGCATGGTATCCAATTACCCTAATTGTACTAAAATTTCAAAATATGTGCCTAAACAAAATTTCAACTAGCACTAAAAAAACTTCTATTATCATTTATCTAACTCCCACCAAAATTCAATACTTCATTTCCACCCACAAAAATCCAGTTAAAACAGCGCATTCCGCCTTCAATCTCGACAACACAATGAACCAATGCTACATTTTTTGAAAATTTTATGCGAAAAATGGATCACATACCAGCAATCAATCTACTCCACCTTCACTAACCACAAGAAAATTAACTAGCAAGAAGATTCATTGGCAAGTTCAATTACACAAATAAATGCCATGAGATAGAGAAGAGAAATACCTGGTGTCCGCCGTATCCTTCCACGCAACCCAAGGAAAGACCTAAACTGCGCGAATATTAAAGGACCGGAAAAAGGAAAACCGAAAGACGAGGATACGGCGAGGATAGAAAGAGGAGAAGGCAGAAGTTCCGGTGACTATGGCTGATGGCTGGATTGACTTGGCGCGAAAATGAGGAACCGGACGGCGGGTAGCGGCGGCGGTGAGCGCTGCTAGAGTCAATGATATTCACGAATTAAGCCCGATTTGAATTAAGCCCAATATTTTTTTATTAAAAAAAAAAACTAAAAAATAAAAATTCATTGTACTTTCCCTTAGGCGCTCTTATTTTTTATCTTTTTAATTTTTTTTAAGAAATTCAAAATTTTGAGGACAAATTAGATTCGTGTCAAACTCTTATTGG